TCCAGACTACCATGTCGACAAAAGCAGCTTGCTTTGTTGACAGAACTCAATGTAGTCTGGACGCGCTTTGTCGACAGAAGTTTTGTCGATAGTATCTGTCGACAAAACGTCTGTCGACAGAAGCCTGTAGTCTAGACGTACCCTCTAAGTCCTAACCTGATGCCCTGCCGGCACTTCTCTTTTCTAAGCTAAACAAGCCCAATTCCTTCCGCCTTGCCTCATAGCTCATATTTTCTAGACCTTTGATCATTTTTCGACAGAAGCCTGTAGTCTAGACGTACCCTCTAAGTCCTAACCTGATGCCCTGCCGGCACTTCTCTTTTCTAAGCTAAACAAGCCCAATTCCTTCCGCCTTGCCTCATAGCTCATATTTTCTAGACCTTTGATCATTTTTCTCATGTTTTTTAGATCTTTAATCAAGTAGAATGATTTGGCTGGCGGTTGGTCATACATATCAGCAGTGACAAGTGTAATCATTTCTGTTCTTCACGAATACTCTTCATAACAGATTTTTATGTCCTTGCCTGTATGCCCTAATAAAAAGAACGTTTTCTAAAAGTTCCGCTTGCATCTTGTTGCACATACTTGTATCAAGTTCTCCTGAGAAAACAGTGTTTCAATTGCAGGGTTGCCAAAAAGTAGCAACAGAAGTGAAAGAGCAAAGAAGTTCACTTAACGACTTTATCCGCAGTGGCACATAGGTTTTTGAGACCTTCAACCCAAAACTTCTCTAGGCTTCCTAAAGGACTGGGTGTAGAAATTTCAGGTACATTTTGCTCACCAGACTCAACTGTGCCTATGAAAAAGAAGTTCAACACTCAAATTTCATTCTTCATCTTTGGCCATCACAAACTGCAGATTCAGTTTGTTGAGCTGATCAAGCACCATCACGTCCATTAGACCCTCACAGGGTCTAATGGAAAGTCACCTTGCTTCAGCAAAACTGCAGTCTCTTCTGAGAGTCTGCAATTACAGAAAGGCCAAGTGGCAGGCTATGAGGAGTGGTGGGCTGATGTCTGGATCTGAAAAAGATCAGGTGATGGTAAAAGAGTAAACTCAGCAATGGAGAGAACAATGCTTGGTGATGGGAGTGATAATATGTTAGAAGTGTCTCAGAGCTGCTGAACTGTCCCAAGGCTGAGCTCCTCAAACTTGGAAAGAGCATCCTTGGTTAACAATGAGTTAGCCTTTCCCCTGCTTTTCATACAAGTTTAACGTTAAAGGCTTCAGGTGGTTGCATTCTGCTGAGGTATTTGCCCAGTTTTTCACGAAGTTCTCTGCTTTTGACTCCATAAATGACGGGGTTGAGCACGGGGACCAGAAGGAAATAGAGGTTGGCCAAGATGATGTGAACATGAAGAGGAATTCCCTGACCAAACCGGTGCGTCAGCGTGGAGAAGAGGAAGGAAGGATAAGAAATGAGCATCACACAGAGGTGGGCAGTGCAGGTGTTGAGGGCTTTCTGGTGGGCTTTCTTGGAGGAGATTCTAAGGACAGCCCTGATGATCAGACCATAGGACAGAGCAATGAGTGTCAGGTCTGAGCCGATGACTACAAATGCCAGCACCAAGCCATATGTCCTATTGACTGTGATGTCCCCACACGACATCTTTGCCACAGCCATGTGCTCACAGAACGTGTGGGGGATAATGCGCTTGTCACAGAACGGCTGCCTGCTCAGAAGCAGGGGCAGGGGCAGAAGCAAGAGAGAAGATCTTATCAAACCCACTAGCCCCAGCTTAGCAATTTGTGCATTGGTGAGGATGGTGGCGTATCTCAAAGGGTTACATATGGCCATGTAGCGATCAAAGGCCATTGTCACGAGGATGGCTGAATGCGTCACAGTGCCTGTGTGAAAGAAGAACATCTGGGTGAGACAGCCACTCACACTAATGCCTTTCAAGTTGAACCACAATATAAACAGGGCTTTCAGCACAACAGAAGTAGAGGTGCTGATCTCTGTGAATGCCAGCATACACAGTAGCAGGTACATCGGCTTGTGCAGGGTCTGCTCTTTGCCTACCACAAAGAGAACCATGAAATTTCCCAAGAGGCCCATAACGTAGAATCCAGAGAAAGGGATGGCAAACCAAATGTGGGCAGCTTCCATGCCAGGGATGCCCATTAAGATGAATGTTGACTGGTCAGTGGAGGTGAGGTTCAAAGCTGCCATGAGGTGATCGAAGTGCTCAAGGCATCTGTGAAACGAGAGAAGCACAGGAAGGGTGGTTACCGCTTCATCACAAATATCGTGAGAAATATGTTATCGTTATTATCAATCTGTTGTTGCTCAACAAATGGCACCAGAGTATTTAGGTCACAGTCAAGTGCAGAGAAGCCCTCAAAGGCTACATCTACACTGCATGATTATTTCAGAATAAGCTATTCCAGAAAAAATACTCTGAAATAGCTTATTTCAGAATAGCATGTCTACACTACAGGGAAGCCTGGAAATTAGTCTGAGGCAGGCTCCCCTAATGTGGACGTGCTACCTCGATTGAGAGCCCCAGGAAGTACTAGGGAGTAATTACTTTGAATGGCCTAGGGGAGGAGCTATGTCGAAATAGCAGCAGTGGAGCATTCAACATGCTGCTATTGCAAAATAGCTATTTCAAAAGAGGTGTTATGCCTCATGGAATGAGGTTTACAAATGCCAAAATGAACCACCTGTTATTTTGAAATGATTTCGAAATAACGAGCTAGCTGTGTAGATGCTCGCATAGTTATTTTGGAATAACGGACATTATTCCAAAATAACCCTGCTGTGCAGACATGCTCAGAGGGAGCTAACCAAGGTGTCATGGAATAGAGCTCAGTGAAACTTTGCTCAGACTGCAAGTTTGGACAGAAACATTGGCATATAGGAGGAGTGTGATGGGAAACCATACGGAAAACACAGTGCCATGACGTCAGTTAATTTCCCTCCCTCCTCTGGACTCCTTTGTGTAGCACTAGGCACCCTTCTCACACAGGATATTTCAGAACAAGAGGGGTTCAGGTAAAAGCAACAAGAAGGACAGAGTTGACAGGGAAACTTTCATACGGGAGAGGGGGGGCAATTGATAGACTGGAATTCTTACCTTACGAAGGCGACCAGTAAGAAAAATCTCAGAAATACTAACTGGTAGAGAGTAGATAGGGAATGTGTTCTCCCTGTCTCGTAACACAAGGATGTTTAATTGACTGAAACATGATAGAAGAAGAGTGCTTTCTTCACTCAGTCCCCATTTAGACTGAGGAACTGACTGAGACAAGAGGAACCTGAGGCCATGAGCCAAGTAGCAATCAGGAAGGGTTTAGACATAAGTCTCCAGTTACAGTAGTTACAGCTGGATATGTTTTGGAAAACCTATAACCCTTGGCTGCGCCTAGACTGGCAAGTTTTTTCGCAAAAGCAGCTGCTTTTGCGGAAAAGCTTGCCAGCTGTCTACACTGGCCGCCTGAATTTCTGCAAGAACACTGACTTCCTACTGTAAGAAATCAGTGCTTCTTGTGGAAATACTATGCTGCTCCCGTTCGGGCAAAAGTCCTTTTGCCCAAAGGCTTTTGCGCAAAAGGGCCAGTGTAAACAGCTCAGATTTGTTTTGCGCAAAAAAGCCCCGATCGCGAAAATGGCGATCGCAGCTTTTTAGTACAAAAGCACATCTAGATTGGCCATGGATGCTTTTGCACAAAAGTGCTTTTGCGGAAAAGCGTCCGTGCCAATCTAGACGCTCTTTTCCGCAAATGCTTTTAACGGAAAACTTTTCCATTAAAAGCTTTTGCGGAAAATCATGCCAGTCTAGACATAGCCCTTGTGTTTATGGGCAGAAGCCAAGGTCTAGCTGAAAAGTATTAGGATGACACCCTCAAGATAAAAATTCCAGTCATCTGAAGAAGTGGGCTGTGTTCACAAAGGCTCATGATCCCATAGACATGTTTTGCTTCTATAAAGTGTTACCCAACCATTTGTTGTTTTTTAAGTTTACCCTGTACAGACTAACTCGGCTACCCCCTGAAGCTTCCAAACTCTCAATATAGTTAGCGCATCTCCCTCTGTTCACTTACTACTGGATTTCTTTGATCCTCTTTTGCAGAACCTGGGGCTATCACTGGACTAGCGGGACCATAGATCTGACCCACGATGCAAAACCTACGTTGGAAAGGAGTGAAGTTTCCCACATGGATACGGACATTATCATGCTGACCTATGACTTTGTGGCCTTCACTTGTCCCAGGGTTGCCCACTCTCTCTATAATGTGCATAATTCTCAGCTTGTGAGCTTTTCCTGTGTAGCCGCCCTTGAAGCGTGCGTAATGTAAGCAGAGAAGCAGCACAGGTGCCCTGGCTTTTGCCTCTCTGTGTGGGAGATTTCTTGCGAGTGCGAGACAGACATTGAGCTCCTCACAGCAACTGATGAAGAGTGTGCTTGTTGGAATGAGGACAGCCCCAAAACACTCAGGATGCGTCAACACAGCACCCGAAACTCAAAATAAGATACGCCATTTGCTATTGCAAAACACAGCGCTATTTCAAGCCACCTCTTATTCGTCATACAAGGAGGTTTACAGGGATGGCGAAATAGCACGTCCGCTATATTTCGAAATAGCGGACTCGTTCAAAAGACACGGGGTAGCTATTTCGGGATACCTCTGGTATCCCAAAATAACTTTGAGGTGTAGACATACCCTCAAAGTCAGGAAAGGGCCCAGTGCTGGCTTAGGACCAACCATCACAAAGAAAAATGTAATGTCAGCAGCGCTGACCATCTGCCTGTGCCTATGCTCCTCTGTGCTCTTAAATCCCTCAATGCTGCCTGTCTGTCCATATCTCTCCTACCTGCCCATCTCTCCCTGCACAATTCCTGCCTCCCCCAAAGGTTGTGTGTGTGTGACACAAAGCTCCATGTGACACAAAGCTTTAACCTACTGCAGCCCATTGGGAACGTGGACCTACATTTTAAAGGCTGCTTTTCTGGGCTGACCATTGCCGACATTGCTAGGAGTCACTAGTAGGACTACTCACCGCAGGAAGGATGATCCAGATGTTGGCTGGTTTCACAGAAAGTCCATTACCGTCTGCGATGCGTGCAAACGCCCCAGGAGGCCTCACAATGTTCCTTGTTCTGTCCATTAGGCAGGATGTCTGTTCCCTGTTTCAACCAGATTCAGGACTCCACATCATTGTGATCGAGATGCTGCGTATCTCCTGCCCCCAACCTCCAGCCGCACGCTGCGTATTCCTGGTGTTCCTTCCCAGTGAGATTTCCAGCAACAACTGGATTGGTCTAAGCCAGCAACATGATTTTATTGTTGTTGTCTTTTGGTGATTCTCATCCTTGCCAGATCCAGAGATGCAAGGGCACTGAGGAGGGCAGCCCCGCTCCCTCCCTGAAAAAAAAATGTTATCCTAATTGTCCTGAGCCTCTAAGCCTGTGAGTTTGAGATTTTAGCAACTCTGCTGTCAGCTCTTCTTTGGTCCAAATGAACTCACTGCACCTCAGTGGCCATGGGTCAACTCCCGTTGAAGTCACTGGAGGCTCATGGCCAATGTAAATCAAGCCATGTCTTTACATCCCTTACATGTGGATGTAGGGTGAACTTGTGTCCACATTGGGAGTTTTGCCACTTGTCTCCATGGGCCCAAGATTTCACCCTGAGTGCTTAACTTTTGGCTCTGATATGATAATCATGGCGTTGGCTCCTGTTAGAGAGGGCATTCTTCTATTAAGGGTCTGCAGCAAACCCCCAGTTTATGTGGCGTTCTGAGACCGGGCATGAGAGATGGGCATTTTAAAACACAGTGGCCCTGATTTTACTCTCAGGGAGAACAGTATCAAGCTGGAGGGACCCCGTGAAGGCAGGCTGGGAAAGCAGAATCTGGCTGGCGTGGGACCCACTCTTGTTGTGAACATTCCCATCACACAGTGATACAGTGCAAAGGATTTGGCTGCATTTCCTAGAAGCACAGTGAAGTTGCTGAATTGGAAAACCTGCAAGAACCAAAGGAAAAATACTCCCTCCCCCAGAAAGAGAAGCTATTGAAGCAGGTAGAAGGACACAGTAAAAGACAAGGAACCTCCTCTGTGTTCCCCAAACCTTGCTAGTGAATGCTCTGAAACTCGCTCTTGACTTGAGCCCTCAGCACTAACTTTAACACTGAAAAAGGCAACTCACCAATATCCCTGTTCGGCAGAGGGAGGAAATCTCACAGTGACAGGAAGGCAGAGCCCTGAGAGTGAGTGCATGTATCTTCCATAGCTGGCACTCAGCATGCTGGACAGAGACCTTTATGATACCCCTGTAAGTCCCTGTGGACTCGCAGATTGGCCTGCAAACCCAGACAATTCCCTCAGCTCTGTGAGCAGTGGGAAGAGCAGAAAACAGACCCTGGAGAACTGCAGCTTGAGAGCCTCCCCAGGAAGCGAGGAAATGATTCGCTGATAACAAGGACTTAGATCTTCAGGGCAAACTGAGTCATGCAAACGGTTTGGCCTGTTGACAGATGCTTGGCTGTGTGTGTGTGTTCTTTCTGCATCCTGTTTTGGCTCTGGTCAGGATGCCCATACAGCAGGCTCTGACTAAACTGCCCAACAATCCACAGACTGAGGGTGCAAACAGCATCCTAAACTTGAACTCAGATATGCAATTAGCACTATGCAAATTGCGTCTCTTATCTCGAATCTATTTCAAAATTGCTTATTTTGAAATTTGGCACGTTGACATAGCGCCAAATTTTGAAATAACGCACTATTTCGAACCATCCCTTAACACTCAGGCAATGAGGTTTACCGGGATTGCAAAATAGTGGGCCCATTATTTCAAAAAATATTTTGAAATAACGGGCAGCTTGTGTATCATAGAATCATAGAATCATAGGACTGGAAGGGACCTCAAGAGGTCATCAAGTCCAGCCCCCCGCCCTCAAGGCAGGACCAAGCTCCACCTACACCATCCCTGGTATAGCTATGCAGTGTAGATGTACCCTCAGTTTTCAGCCAAAGAATGTAGGTTTATTGCTGATGAGGTGCAGTGTTAATTCCCCCTTGCTCAGTGTTTATAGCTACACTATCATATGTGTGTCCTTGACAATGGACTGGCTCAATGAATGATGGGATGTTCCTCTCGGCTGGACAAAGACGTTTTTATGCACTGGTACAAATAAGTTAGGGTATGTCTACACTACCCTGCTAGTTCGAACTAGCGGGGTAATGTAGGCATACCGCACTTGCAAATGAAGCCCGGGATTTGAATTTCCCGGGCTTCATTTGCATAAGCCGGCTGGCGCCATTTTTAAATGCTGGCTTGTTCGAACCCCGTGCTGCGAGGCTACACGTGGCATGGGCTAGATAGTTCGAACTAGCAAGCCATTCCGAACTATCTGTACATCTTGCTCCCCTGGGGTACAGAGCCCCCAGAAGGGTCCGAGGCTGGAGGTCAAAGCAGTGAGGCAGGAGAGAAATCTAGAAGGAAAACTTTATTATGCATGCATGCAGGCTGACAGCTACCAGAGTAAGCAGCAGCAGCCCTGAGAGACAGATTCAGGGATCCTTTATAGAGTATGCTCAGACAGTTTAGTTGTTGATTGTTTTCTTTAACATGTCAAAGTCTCAGCAGAAGTATTCTAAGATGTGTCTGTTCACACCAGAAGTGCTAGAAGTAAGTTTACAGTACAAAGGCACATGAGAACTTGAGTGAGGAGTCTACAAGGCAAACTGAGACAAAGATAAGAGTTTACATGGCAATTTGTGAGGGACTAGGAGTCTCCATGAAGTTGAGATAGGAGGCATTGTAAGGGTCTTGATTAGAGTTAAGATGATTTCTCTCTGTTACAGGGAGAGAGGCCTGGAAAACTTTTAACCCTTACAGCAGTTTTCTTTTAGAGAGTTTTGATTTCCTGCACAGTCCCCCCTTAGACACAATTGGAGTTATTTGATTTTTCTCCCACACCTGCTAAGGTGAGTATGGAATCAGAAAATTGCTACATCTGGATCTTTTGTTTCTTCTACTCCCTTCCCTCGCCTCCCCCACACATCTTGTTTGCATTACACCTGCCTGGACTACAGGAGGTTATGACTGTGATGGGTACGGTGTGGGAGCCATGGGGACTACTATGGCCCTCTAGCCCCCAGCAGGCTGGCTTTTTTTCCTCCTGCTTTGCTGGTGATTCAGTCTCTCAAGGCCATTAGCACCCAACGTGACAACAGATGGCACCACACTCCTGAAGTAAGCTATCCTAACCTAAGTCCCCCAAATACACACAAGCAGACACGAACCAATTGCCCAGCCCTCAAGTTCACAATGACCACTGGGATATAACATGGAAATTAGACTCTCTTCTCCTGCACAGGGATCTATTCAGTGTAAATCATTACCAGAGCTCATCCTCCCCTGTATGCGAAGCAACAGGGAGACATGGCCTGACAGGGCCCAACACAGAGAGGCATTGCACCAGTGTGAGATGCCCCAGAGAGAATGAACAGAAAAAATAATATTCACATGATCTTTCTCCTGTTATCCATTTCCAGCCTCTAACAGAGGCTAAAGACACCATTCCTACCCATCCTGGCTAATAGCCATTTTCTGAAAACTGCTATAGTCCTGATCTCCACTACATCCTCTGGCAAGGAGTTCCCCAGGTTGACTGTGCGCTACATGAAGAAAAACTTCCCTTTGTTTATTTTCAAAGCCTGTTGCCTATTAATTTCATTTGGTGGCCCTTAGTTCTTATGTTATGGAAGCAAGTCAATCACTTTTCTGTATTCACTTTTTCTACACCAGTCATGATTTTATAGACCTCTGCAATTTGCGTCTCTTTTTCCGATTATTTTTCTGGAAGAAGCTTTTCCGCCATTTGGCCCTGCCTAAATGGGGCCAAATGGTGGAAAAGCCTCCTTTTTTGGAGAAGCCCTTATTCCGTGTGAAACGAGGAATACAGGGCTCCCCGAAAGAGCATTATGGTAATTGCCACAATGTTTGGGAGACAGAACACAATATCAAAAGCCTATTGTTCTCCCAGGCTAAGAGGCTGCTGGAAATTAAATATAAAGGCCCTTTGGACATGATACATCTTCATCTCATATCTGCTTGGATGCTCAAGGGGAAAGCTTCAATCCATAAAGAATAAGACCCCAGGATTAATTTAATAACTCTAGACTGATTCTGAAAGCTCCATCTGACTAGAAACCTCAAAAATCTATGAATCTGTTTGCAGAACTTTTCTCTTGTCTATATGTATTTGATTCCTGTACCCAATTTGACTCTCCCCTTTCTGTCTTCCTTTTTGTAAAGATTTTAGATTTTAGATACACGAAGACTGGCGACAACAGCATTTTTGTGCTCATTGAGGGTACAATCCAGCTAGGAACCAATGCTTTTTGGCCTACAATCAGTGTTAATACTGTGACTAAAACAATTACTCCTCCTGGACACTTGAAAAAATTGTTAATTGAATTATTTTCTAAAGTGGAGCAATTAAAGGTGGAAGTGCAAGACTTGGTAGCCAGAACAAAAGAGGCTTTAGCGCTCATAGGCCAATGTATTCGACCACAGATAGAGGAAGTAGAAAGTGTACAAAGAGAGATGGAAACAACCTACTGGAAAATTCCAGAGGATGTAACCTTTCAACCAGTAGACAAAATTTAGTGTAGTCCTAATTGGATTCCAGGTGGTAATAGTTATTGCCTTATTTGAAATGTGTTGTTATATGCATAAAAAAAGAAAAAAAATATAATAAGAGGCAAAAAAAGGAATGGAAGTAGCTATCCACACTGCCATTCCATAGGCCATTCAGTTTAGGGAATAAAGTAATTGTTATAGAACACCACACCAGCCTAGGGGATAAGAGCAAGTACTCCATTGATGGAGCTGAATCAATTGTCATGGGCACACCCTCTTAGTATAACTGTAGAGCGATTCCTGTGCTTTGTTGACAATAAAACTGGCCACGTGCCTTTGTACTTTATCTGGTTCAATAGTCTTTTGGCATTTCCCTTGGAGCCTGCTGTACGGGCAACCTGCACATAGCCACTACAATATACAGAGGAGGCATGCACATTGTCAAACAGTTATCCTCATTGAACAGAACAAGAAACCGATCAGGACATCACACCGGTGACTTCTGACCACAACTTGGTATCCTATAGTACACTAAGGAACAGCCTTGAAGTTTGTCATGGACATTTCAGGATGGTGGTATTTTAGGTAGGTGGGCCCTCCATGGTGGTAAAGGAATCAAACAACTGTTACCGCTAGATGTTTTGTTGAAGCTACATTGCATACCTCCATGCTTGCATCACAGGTGCATGGAGGCCAAATATGGGTTCTGGAGGGCTTCTTAACCCCAGGGTGAAGAGCTGTGAGAGGTAGGAGCTCTGAAAACTGTGCCCAAGTGGGTAGAGGGACTATAGCTTGACCAAAAGATCCAGCTGTAGAAGTGGTTTGACTTCTTTACAACTGGGTCCTCATTCCAGCAGGGCATACCTACGTTAGGGTACGTCTACTCAGCAGCGCTATTTCGGAATAACTAACGTTGCACCTGTGATGCAAGCATGAAGGTGGGCAATGTAGCGTCAACAAAACATCTAGCGGTAACAGTTGTTTGATTCCTTTACCACCATGGAGGGCCCACCTACCTAAACTAAATAATTAATGTTATTCTGAAATAACATTGTTTGATTCCTTTACCACCATGGAGGGCCCACCTACCTAAACTAAATAATTAATGTTATTCTGAAATAACATTGTGTGCGGCTACACTATAATCTTTAATTCGAAATGGGGAGCTGGAGGACTTTTTACTCTGACTCATGATAAGCCTCATTTCACAAGGAGTAAGGGAAGTTGAAGGAAAAGTGCCCTTCCTTCGACTTCCTGCTGTGTAGACAGCACCAATAGCTGAATAAAGCTATTTTAACTTCAGCTACACAATTGATGTAGCTGAAGTTGCATAGCTTAATTCGACATTAGCCCTGCTGTGTAGACAAATCCTAAAATATAACCGTACCAAAATGACCCCAGGGAAATACATCAGGCAGACTCGAAACTTGTCCCTTTATAAAATAGGGGATACAATGTGAGATGAAGTGAAGGTCATTATTCCACAAAGAGTGAACAAGAATCACAGAGTTAGTGGAGAAGTTCTGTGCTACTAGTTTTCACACCAAAAAGCATAACCCTTTTCCGCATCGAATTCTGAAAGATCAACACAATATTGAAATTTGCTGATTACTCAATGCAGAGAGTAGAATTAGAATACTTTCAACTGACAGATATACATCGTTGTTTGACCTCACAGATGGATACTGGCAAAGTTTGATGCTAGAATCCTGGGCGAAGAAAGCCTTTTTCACAACTCTCGGTTTACAGCAATTCAGCATCAACTTGTTTTGCCTCAACAAAGGGGCAATGACTTTTTAGAGATTAATGGACTACAACTGCTTGAACGGCATGCAGAGGTTTGATTCTACGCTCAGCTGTAAAAGGCTTTTGGTCTCGTATCTTCTAGCAGCATTCCCACCATAGCATAGATGGCATTACACTGCACATAGAAAATAAAGCCATCATCAGTTGCTAGCCTAAACAGTCCGCAAGACTCCCTCTTGATGGATAATCATTTCTTCACTCCCAAGAGAGAGTTCTTAAGCTGGAGTTCTCCAGGGTGCATTTGTTATACTCTTCCAAATGGTCATGGAGCTCAGAGAATTGTTTGGGAGTCCTGGCAAACCTCATGGTCCGCTGGGACCATAGAGAAGAATCATAAAGGTTGCCCTCCAACACACCGAGTCTCAGACATGTGAGATTCACACACTGACTCTCAGGTCTCTGCATTCCTATTGGAGGAAGATTACTTCTCTCTGCTGAGATGGAGTTCGGTGAGTTGCCTCTTTCTGCATTACAGTTAGTGCTAAGGACTCAGGGAGAGTTTCAGGGTTTACGTCACCGACCACCTAGGAAGAAATTCAACATGACGGTGACTGGAAGTGCTTAGTGTTGTCAGAAATACCAAGAGGCTTACCCAGTAAAATTGGAAATAGACAAATATTTATTAACTTTTAAGATCAGTTCCTTTTCTCTTACCTTGTCCTTTCATCTGTCCCAGTAACTTTTTTGGGAGCGGTGCTGTTTTTCTTCTGGTTTGTTTCATTTCTCCAATTCAGCAACTTCCTTGCCCTGCTGGAAATTGCATTCCTACCCTCTGCCATGGGCATCTGTGTTTCCAGGAGATTCCCAAGAAGAAGGGGTCATAGATTCTGCTCTCAAATTCTGCCTTCACTGGGTCACTCCAGATTAACACTGGCTTCCCTGAGAGCTCTATCAAGGCTCAGGTGTATTGAGAGCCTCTTCTTTCAGACCTTGTCTCAGAACATTACATAACCTGGGGGTTTCCCTCAGACCCTATCAACGATCTCACAGAATAGTGCTCTCTGTAGCAGGACCCAAATCCGTGATTTTCACAGCTAGGAGCCAAAATATACACAAAAAGGGTGAATCTGAGCCCCACTGATATTAATGGCAGAGGCCCATGTTGCCAGGAGTTGACCCTACCTACATCCACACATTAGGATTGAAATTAAATGGACTCATTTACAATGATTATGAGCCTCCAGAAACTTCTAATGGAGCTGTCCTGTGTCCTCTAAGGATGGGTGAGTTTGTTTGGAACAAAGTAGAACTGAGAGAAGAGTTGCTGAGATAACAAATTCATAGGATTAAAGGTTGAAAACAATCAAGATAACATTTTTTTTTCCAGAAAGGGAGAGATGTCTGCTCTTTCCTTGCACCTGCATCTCTGGAAAAGGAGAGGATATGGGCTATGTCTAGACTGGCAAGTTTTTCTGCAAAATCATATGATTTTGCGGAAAAAATTGCCAGCTGTCTACACTGGCCGCTTGAATTTCCGCAAGAACACTGACGATCTCATGTAAGATCGTCAGTGTTCTTGCGGAAATACTATGCTGCTCCTGTTCGGGCAAAAGCCTTTTTCCGAAAGACTTTTGCACAAAAGGGCCAGTGTAGACAGCACAGTAGCGTTTTCCGCAAAAAAGCCCTGATCGCGAAAATGGCGATTGGGGCTTTTTTGCGGAAAACCGTGTCTAGATTGGCCACGGACGCTTTTCCGCAAAAAGTGCTTTTGCGGAAAAGCATCCTGCCAATCTAGACGTGTTTTTCCGAAAATGCTTTTAACGGAAAACTTTTCCGTTAAAAGCATATTTGGAAAATCATGCCAGTGTAGACGTAGCCATGGAGTTTAAGAAGGCAGTACAAATAAATGGATCTTTCTGGCAGACAGGAAACCTAGGGGTGTTGATGGGAGAGGTCGAGTAAGACACAGCCTTAGGGGTGGGGTGGGGACACAGGACATGCAGAAGCCAGATTAGAATGATCCAGAGTTTTGAAACCAGACAAATCCTGCTCAGCGCCCAGATCAAGGAGGAACAACACAACCTCCTGGGATAAAGGGGCAGAATGATCCAGAATTTTGAAACTAGACAAATCCTGCTCAGCTCACAGATCAAGGAGGAACAACACAACCTCCTGGGATAAAGGGGTGTCTCGGGCTGTCACATAACCTGGACCACACTGTGGCAGATTGTCTCTGACACCATATGGATCGTCCCTCCTCCAGTGCAAAATCCCACTGCAATCTCATGGTAACTTCAGCAATTGACAACCCAGAAAAGCAGCCTCAGGAAGGTGGGTTTGGGATTCTAACCGGCTGCAGTACCTTAAGGGTTTGTCATTGGGAGGAAAAGGTACTGACGCTGGCTCCTTTCCATTTCCACATCCCTCACTTCTTCCCTGCAGAGGCTGAGCAGTTCTTGCTGGGGCTCCCCTCACCCTCAGAAAAGCAGTTCCTGCTGCTCTCCCCCTTTCCGTGGTGCCAACAGGCTCTGAGTTTAATTTAGACTGTGGGGACATTTCTCTGAGCTGTCGCTGTGGGGTCTGGCACCTATTTTACATCCTGGATGAGGGCTAGAATCTTACATATACTTCATGGAGTAGTGGGCAGCACCGGGTTGGTGGGGCAGGGAAAAGAACGCACACATTGGCAGTTGTGGAGGCAGGAAGGGCAGGATACACGGATAGAGATTGGGCCTTGAGGCTTTAGGAGAGGAAGCAGGTACATAGGGAGGCAGTCAGCACTGAGGGGCGTGGGGACACGGCGCACACAATCTTTATCTACACTCTACCACTGAGTATTACACAGACTTTTCTCATGTTTTCCCATATTCATCACCCTTGTAAGATAATAGTCCCACTATTTCAACCTCTTTGTATATAAACATGTCCCTGAGACTTTGAGTATTCTTCTTGTCCTGGCCTGAGCTCCTCTAACCCTGCACTATTCCTGTGGGATGGGTACCCAGTAACAGTCCAGAGAAGCGGGAAACTTTGATTGATCTCATGGCACTGTCTTTTCTGGAAGATTCTGCCTCCCACTTCTGGATCAAAACACTTGCCTTAGTTTCTGTCCATGCTTGTACCGTGAGCTGGGTTTCACAGAGCTCAGTGCCATGATGCCTGGGTCCCTCTGCTGAGTTGATAAAGATAAATAAGAACCTAGTTAGGTGTTTCCGGAGTTCATGCTTTCTCCTATAATGGTGATAGAAATGTAGCCGTGTTAGTCTGGTGTAGCTAAAACAAAATACAGGACTATGTAGCACTTTAAAGACTAACAAGATGGTTTATTAGATGATGAGCTTTCGTGGGCCAGAAGCTCATCATCTAATAAACCATCTTGTTAGTCTTTAAAGTGCTACATAGTCCTGTATTTTGTTTCTCCTATAATGAGCATTTATGTTACAGTTATTCACATGGATGTTTCTTTACCATCATGCTTCCCATTGTCTTGGCTTGGTTAGATCCCTCTAAGGATGTCTCTGGACTTGGCTAGAACAAAGAATCTGGGGTCATCTGTAAATGTTGCCATCTCACTGCTCACCCTCCTTTCTAGATTAACTATATTTATCATCCTAATTAATGATAAAGTGTGTAACCCATTTCCTGTGCTTCTCTCCATCACAGACAACATGAGTGTTTCTGAGGCCAATCTTCAAACTGAAGACTTTATGGCAGCTTTCAACCTCACACCCTCTGATCAGTCAATGTTTATCCTAATGGGCATCCCTGGCCTGGAATATGCCCACATCTGGATTTCCATCCCTTTTGCTATATCCTACTTTATCATACTGCTGGGAAATGTCACAGTTTTGTTTGTGGTAGGCAAAGATCAGACCCTGCAGAAGCCGATGTACCTACTGATCTGCATGCTGGCACTCACAGACATTGTCATATCCACCTCCAGCTTGCCGAAGGCCCTGTGTATATTTTGGTTCAACTGGAAAGGCATTACGGTGGCTGGTTGCCTCACCCAGATGTTCTTCCTTCACACTGTTTCTTTTACGCAGTCAGCCATTCTGGTGACAATGGCCTTTGATCGTTACGTGGCCATATGTAACCCCCTCAGATATGCCACCATCCTCACCAACACAAGAGTGGCTCAGTTAGGGTTTGTAGGTTTGATGCGAGCTGTCCTCCTTATGCTGCCTCTGCCCCTGCTCCTGAGTAGGCTGTCATTCTGTGCCAAGCGCAATATCACCCATACGCAATGTGAGCACATGGCTGTGGTTAAGCTGGTGTGCGGGGATACCACAGTCAACAGGATGTACAGTTTGGTGGCAGCATTTGCAGTCAGTGGATTAGACCTGATGCTCATTGCTCTGTCCTATGGTCTCATCATCAGGGCCGTCCTCAGAATGTCCTCCAGGAAAGCCCACCAGAAAGCCCTCAACACCTGCACTGCCCATGTCTGTGTGATGCTGACCAGTTATACGCCAGGCTTCTTCACCAGCTTGACACATCGGTTCGGTCAGGGCATCGCTCCCCATACTCATGTTATTTTAGCCAGCCTCTATCTCCTCATCCCTCCCATGCTCAACCCCATTATTTATGGGGCCAAAACCAAAGAGCTTCGTGACAAAGTGAATAAATTCATCTGCAGAATGTGACTGCCTGTGGTGACAAGAGGGGTAAAGGCATCTCCACATTAATTGTGGCACTCAGCATTGTTCCAGTTCATAGTCTGGGCAGTTGCTCACACCTAGGCTATATCTACATTGGCAAGATTTTGTGCAAAAACTTGCCACCTGTCTACACTAGCTACGAGTTCTTGCGCAAGAACACTGACGTTCTAATGTAAGAAATCAGAGCTTCTTGCACAAGAACTCTGATGCTCCCGCTCAGGAATAAGCCCTCTTCTGCAAGTGTACGTGCGCAAGAGGCCAGTGTAGACAGACAACATGAATTTCTTGCGCAAGAAAGCATCTACCCTAGCACGGATACTTTTGCGCAAAAGCACATCTCTTGCGCAAAAGCACATGCCAGTGTAGATGCTCTCTTGCGCAAATACGTTAACGCAAAAATTCTTGCGTTAAAAATATTTGCACAAAATCTTGCCAATATAGATGTAGCCCTAATGTCTTATCACTCCGTCACCAAGCACTGTGCTCTCCATTCCTTCTGCCTGATTATCCCGTCAGCCTCCAAACACCCAACCTCTGCCACTCGGCTGCTCTGTAACTCCTAGACTGTCTGTAGATAATAAGAATATAAGAATGGCCAGGGTTCGACAAATAATGCAATCTATTCGCCTGTGGTGAGTAGATTGCAACCCGGAAGAGCTGGATTCGGGTGATCTGCCCATGTGCAGATCGTTGGACAGCGTGGCTGGCGAGCGAGGCTCTGGCCATACTGGGTAAAACCAAAGATCCGTCTAGCCCAGTGCGCTGTCTTCCAACAGTGGCCAATAAATGAAGATTTCTCAGGCAAGACAGCTTTCCATTAGTCCCTGCATGAACAAGGGTTTTGATCAATTTGATGACTAGAAGCTAGACATTCAAATAGGCAAATAGAAAAGGAAGAAATTACCATGCTGAGCTTCTTTAAAATATGAACTGTGATCCAGTGAGCAAAATTTAGCTGTTATTTTTTATATCTAATCCTTCAGAAAACCCTGGAAATAAACCTAATAAAGTTTAACAGTACCAAATTAATTCAGCGCAAAATGAGCACATTGAGTTGCTAGGCTATGTAAAAGTTAATAGGTCTGAAATGCCTCTAAATTAGTGGTTCAGGGTCAGCCACAGCATTACCCTTTAAACATGCTTTATTTTTATTTTTTTTTGTAGGTTGGGAAGTGTCCAGTTAAAACCAGTATTATCCTTTGTGATGTATAAACATGTTCTTTCTCTTCATTCTTGTAGCTGAAGAAACCAGATAAGTATGGAGTTGCTTTATTTTGTTATGTCTCTTGCTTTTCCTCATTGGCTCTATTACATTTTCAGGGTCAAACTCCTTGTTAATCTCTGAAACCTGTTGATTTAGAAAGTTTGTAGTATAGAAAAGTGTTGATTTAATTATAAATTATGTAAATAGCAATTAGGGGTGGGTATAATTGTATTATTTGCTTACTAATATTCATTTTATGGGAGTTAACATTACTAAATAATGTTTTAGGAAAAGTAGTGACAGACATGTGAATTAACATACTAAAATAGATAAAAGAGTATGACTAATGCCAATTTGTTGCCACTGAGACATTGTATTGAATGTCCGAGGTAATCGTGCGTTAGGAAATAAAGTGGTTCTGTGTACTTCTCAGAGTACAATCACTTAATGAAATTAGAAATAAATAATATAACGTTGAGTTTGTTTTTATACTACCTGGCTACATCTACACTGGCACCCTTTTCCGGAAATGCTTAAAACGGAACAGTTTTCCGTTATAAGTATTTCTGGAAAAAGCGCGTCTACATTGGCAGGATGCTTTTCCGGAAAAGTGTCTATGCCAATGTAGATGCGCTTTTCGGCAAAAAAGCCCCGATCGTCATTTTCGCGATCGGGGCTTTTTTGCGGAAAAGAAATCTGTTCTGTCTACACTGGCCCTTTTCCGGAACAGTTTTCCGGAAAAGGACTTTTGCCCGAACGGGAGCAGCATAGTTTTTCCAGAAAAGCACTGATGATTTTACAGTAGACCATCGGTGCTTTTCCGGAAAAGCAAGCGGCCAGTGTAGACAGCTGGCAAGTTATTCCGGAAAAGCCGCTGATTTTCCGGAATAAGTGGCCAATGGGGGGCCACATCAGTGAGTGTTGGAGGTTTTTGAAGGGGGCGGGGAGGGGTTTGCTTCTACTTGTGTGGTTCCTAGCTGATTTTTTTCTGTGGGACAGTGGCCCACAACCCAAAAAAGTTTCCCCACCCTTGCCATAAATAAAGACAATTTGAAACCTTTTGGGCTCGTCTACACTGGCCCCTTTTCCGGAAGGGGCATGTAAATTTCACGAGTCGTCGTAGGGAAATCCGCGGGGGATTTAAATATCCCCCGCGGCATTTAAATAAAAATGTCCGCCGCTTTTTTCCGGCTTTTAAAAAAGCCGGAAAAGAGCGTCTAGTAGGAATAAGAGCCTCCAGAAAAGGGCACTTTTTCCGGAGGATCGGGGCCAGTGTAGACGCTCTTTTCCGGCTTTTTTAAAAGCCGGAAAAAAGCGGCGGACATTTTTATTTAAATGCCGCGGGGGATATTTAAATCCCCCGCGGATTTCCCTACGACGACTAGTGAAATTTACATGCCCCTTCCGGAAAAGGGGCCAGTGTAGCCGTAGCCCCTATGTTTAGGCCTCCTTTCGGGCTATGTTAATACTGTGATTTGCCATTTTTCATTTGATATACCTGCCCACACTCAATGAGAACACACTCATCGGTGCTGGTGTTTTCATTCTGAATGTGATTCTCACCTCAGATATTTGTGGCTAATGTAAATTAACCTGTGCTGAGCTTGACAGCTTTTTTTTAAACAAGAAATGAAATGTTTACTAGGCATTTAGCAAGAGTTTTTGTTGGTTACTTAATGTATAGACCAATGTGTGAATAAAACAATATTTCAAGAAATACGTCAGGCTACATTTAAGTGATTTGTAAATAATGTTGGGCTGTGCAAGCAGCAAAAATCTGGCAAACCCATCCAGAACCAGAGGGTCCAGAGAAGCAGCCTAGAAGGCAGACCTGGCCTGGAGCCAAGCAGCAGCACTGAGCCAAAACAACTAAAGCTGAGCCAGGAGCTGAATTGTAGCCCTGAGGCAGAGGGGGGACATGAACCCTACAGGATGGCACATGGGATGGGAGAAGGGGTGTCTACCACTGGAGCAGGTGCCTGACCCCGGGTGTCACCACAGAGCAGCCAGGACGTGCACAGGAAGCTTGGGATCAGTGAGGGGCAGACTGTGAACATTTCTGACAGCCCAGAGAAGGCTGTTTTCACTAGCCTTGTGCCCCAAGACTGGGCTGGAACAGGCTCCAAATCTGATCTCTGGGTTGCACTGCATGTGCCAGTAGATGCACATGCACAAGACTTTCCTTCCCCCAGCACTTCAAGCCAAAGGCTCCCCCTCTGACATCTGTCTTTATGCACTGATACAAATCAGTTACATATTGCCCCCAATGTGGTTAGTTGCCACCCTTATCTTGTACACTTCTGGCAAAAGCCTGAGCTAACTTTGCTTTATAGTAGCAAGGCCTGAGTATTACTTCAGTTCAGGCCTTAAACCTCATACCAGTCCTCATGTCTCAGGCTCTCTCTTTCTACTCCAGAGAGTTTTTCTGCTCCAAAACTCAGGGAACTCCACTTCCCAACTCACCATCAGCCTGTACCTAACAACAATCTCCATTTCAAGCAGACTCCAGTAGGCTGCCACACCCCATGCCTCGCATCACTGGGTACACCAATCAGCATCTTGCTGAAAAGTCTCCATTGAAGCAGTGATAGAAATGTAGCCGTGTTAGTCTGTTGTAGCCCTGTTTTTTGTTCCATTGAAGCAGTATCCCTCCCAGCCATCCCTTCTCCACCTGAAGAAAGAAACTGAGTGTTTTCGGTACTTAGAACACAAGAATGGCCAAACTGGGTCAGAACAAAGTTCCATCCAGCCCATTGTCCTGTCACTAGTGGCCAATACCAGATGCCCCAGAGGGAAGGATCACAACAGGTAGTCGGCACAAGTTTCCAGAGAAACAGCGGTAAGGGATATCATTCCTACCCATCCTGGCTAATAGCCATTGATGCACCTAACTTCCATGAATCTAGTTAGCTCCTTTTTGAACCCTGTTAAAGATCTAGCCTTCACCGCATCCTCTGGCAAGGAGTTCCACAGGATGACTGTGCACTGAGTGAAGAAAAACTTCATTTTGTTTGTTTTAAACCTACTGCCTATTAATTTCATTTGGTGACTCCTAGTTCGTGTATTGTGGGAATAAGTAAATAACTTTTCCCTATTCACTTTTCCCATACCAATCGTGATTTTATAGACCTCTATCATACCTGAGTCCTTTAGAAAGAATTGCAGGGACTGTTATGGGGGGATCAAACAGCAGTAGATTTGGAGCGCACAGGAGTGGCCCCTTCCCTTCCCCCGCCCCATGTTCTGCCCTCTCAGGAGTATGTTTCCAGGCACAACTGGCTCCATACACAACGGAGACTGAAATTCTGAAGGGAACATCTCACAAAGGGCCCTATACACAGTGGCTACGTCTAGACTGGCATGATTTTCCGTAAATGCTTTTAATGGAAAAGTTTTCTGTTAAAAGCATTTGCAGAAAAGACTGTCTAGATTGGCACAGACACTTTTCCGCAAAAGCACTTTTTGCGGAAAAGCATCTGTGCCAATCTAGATGCGCTTTTGCGCAAAAAAGCCCCGACCGCTATTTTTGCCATTGGGGCTTTTTTGTGCAAAACAAATCTGAGCTGTCTACACTGGCCCTTTTGCTCAAAAGCTTTGCATAAAAGGGACTTTTGCCCCAACAGGAGCAGCATAGTATTTGCGCAAGAAGCACTCATTTCTTACATGAGAGCGTCAGTGTTCTTGCGGAAATTCAAGCCGCGAGTGTAGACAGCTGGCAAATTTTACTGCAAAAGCAGCTGCTTTTGTGGAAAAACTTGCCAGTCTAGATGCAGCCTCTGTGTGAGACACAGCCAGTGAACTGAAGAGTTGAGTCAAGTTTGAGGAGAACAGAGAAACTGGTCACTTTCGGAGCCGCTCCTCTAGGCTATGTCTAGACTGCAAGCCTCTTTCGAAAGAGAGCGTCTAGACTGCACGTTGAACTTTCGAAAAAGCGACTTGCTTTTTCGAAAGAGAGCACCCAGTGAGTCTGGATGCTCTCTTTCGAAGAAGCCCTATTTACATTGAAGAACGCCTTCTTTCAAAAGAGGCACTTTCGAAGGAAGGCGTTCTTCCTCGTGAAACGAGGTTTACCGCCGTCGACAGAAAAGCCGCGTTCTTTCGATTTAATTTCGAAAGCACGCGGCTTGAGTCTGGACGCAGGGGAAGTTTTTTCGGGAAAAGGCGACTTTTCCAGAAAAACCCGAGTGTGGACACAGCCCTAGTGAGGAGGGGGCATTTCCCTCCCTCCTGGAGGATGATCAGGACCTGTGGCTGGGGAAGGTTAAATCCTCGCCCCTGACGGCTCCTAGCAGCAGGTCCCCCAGGCGCTGAGGGTGCACGAGGCTCTGCCGTGGCTCCCAAGGGCTGAAGC